CCTGCTAAGGACAATCTGCTCTTGAGTTTATTTGAAGTTAGATGTGAGTTCAAAACAAGTCCAGCTCAAGCTGTTACTCTCCAAATCCTAAGCCTCTGAGGGATACTCTTTTTGTAACTATAGTTCATAAACTAATGGAAGCAAGAGCTATTGGGTATTGTTTGTCCCACAGGATGTCTGATTTAAAAAATAATATGAAATCAAACAATTCTAACCCCTCATTCTGGAAATACCTGGAGATTTTACTTCCAGCTCCAGAGAAAAGCTGATTTTCACGTGTCAGAACTTAAGGCATGGTGCAAGTGTCTGTATTAAGCATTTGAATATGACACTGGCAATAAGAATTGCTTGGATCCTGGTAATAAATGTCTGTATTTAGTTAATCATAAAAAGATCACCTAACAATGAAGTTGAGGAGTTGCTCAGGAGTGCAGCTTCACACTGGGGATGAGGCTCAGGGTTAAGAGAGCATCCCAAACCCCTGACAGGATCTCAGATGAAGGGATTACCTGTCTGCTACTTAAATTGTATTAGTCCCTCCATATGCCCAGTCTGAAGAGACTAAATGTCTCTGAGGCAGCTTTGTCTGCCAGCTGTCCCTGGGGTGCTAGACCTCTTCTGGTGCTGAGAGCTGCCTCTTGAAGCACTGTGACCTGGCAAAGGCTTGTTGCTTCCAACAGGCAATCTGAAGCACTTTTGGTGCTACTGTTGGGTTGTATTGCCCCAAAAGTCCTACTGGACACCTTTATTTGTTCCTTCAGTGAGGCTGTGGTGAAGAGATCTTGGGGCACAGTACCAGCAATGAGGTGCTGGTATATGCCCTGGTGAGGAGAGCTGCCAGCAGCAGGCTCCTGTCTGTGTTCTTTATGAAATAACCCAGTTTCTGACCTGGCATCTGGTATACTGTCTCTGACTCCAGGCTTGGATCCAGCTGGCCCTATGTTTGAAGGAGTGGACCCCAGCAAGCGTCTCTCCCCCGACGATGCCAAATTTGTGGATGTCCTTCACACCTACACCAGGGAAACACTTGGTGTTAGCATTGGGATCCAGATGCCTGTGGGCCACATTGACATCTACCCCAATGGGGGTGACTTCCAGCCTGGCTGTGGTCTGAGTGATGTCTTGGGAGCCATTGCCTATGGGAGTAAGTTCTTGTTGCATATATTCTATGTTATGTCTTTTGCCTTTGGTCAGTGTAGGCTCCTCACAAACAGACTTGGGTTGGTGCTGGGGGATGATCTGTTTTACCAAAGCAGAGAAAACCATTTTTCCTTCTAAACTGTCTGTACTACTGGAAATAGTTGCTAGAAACTATACCTGCCCTTAATTCTGAAGTAGCATGTTTTCACTCTAACACCTGATCATAAACTATGATCTTCTCAATCTGGGTCTAGACTCCTCTTTAAAGCTCTCTTCATGGTAGAGACTCAGTGAACAGTCTTCAAGTGTCTCCCACTAACCACTTGAGTTGCCACTGTTTGAAAGATGTTCAAGCTTGGCCATGACCAGCTCCTGTTGGGCTACAAACAGGCATAGCTCACTTTGTCTTACCAACCGCTGGGGTGATGAGTGCTTAAACCAAGTGTCTCCCTTGCCACTCTGCTCCTCCAGCCATTGGTGAAGTTGTTAAGTGTGAGCATGAGCGGTCAGTGCACCTCTTCGTGGACTCTCTGGTGAACCAGGATAAACAAAGCTTCGCCTTTCAATGTACTGATTCCAGTCGCTTCAAGAAGGGAATCTGCCTCAGCTGCCGCAAGAACCGCTGCAACGGCACAACGCCCGGAAGATACACCACAAGAGAAACAGCAAGATGTACTTAAAGACAAGGGCTGACATGCCATTCAAAGGTATGATTTCCCCTCTTAAGGGGTTCTCATCTGTGGGAGCAGCCTCCCAAAGCTGGTGTTGGGAAGGGTGTAGAGGTGGAAGAGTAGCATCACCTCCAAGCCATGCAGCTCCAGATGTTAGGGTGTCACTGTTGCCTGTCCTGTGGCACTACTGTGCTCCTCCCTCCTTGTAAAATCAACAGCCGTAAGGACACTCCGCCTTTTGAGCAGGACTGCAGTTTGCATGTCATACTTACAGGACTCAACCTTAGAGCAGTGTAAGGTCTGGGCAGTCCTCCCTGAAGTGGAACTGCTGCTGCTGTTGTGTGAATGTTGACGTTGTAATTGGTAAGGGCAGGAAAAAATGATCAATGATGTCTCGATAAAGGAAAGGTCTGGTCTGTGCCAGTCAACACTATTTCACATGGGGCAATACTGAGCAATGTTGCCTCTCAAACTTGGTTTCATCTCTGCTCTCCTCT